AAGATCTAAGCTCAGTTATTGCTTATCCTGATGAAGTATTAAACAATAATCCAATCAAAGAATAATAGAGAGATAAAGGATAATAGAGAGTGCTCAAGTAAAAGATAAAAAAGTGCTCAAGTATTATATTAATAATTAATATATTTTATCAGTATGATACAATATATCTTTTTGATGGTCTTTAACTTGGTCTTCCCACTTGCACCTAAGAAGACCAAGTCGATGAATGGTTTTGATTTACTAAATCGTATTGTGGCCATACAGAACAATTGCAAATGTTTTCAATATTATTTAAAAAAATAAATTAAAAATTGCTTTTTAACAAAACTAACTTCATGAAGATTATTAAATTTTCAGCAATATCATCTCTGATTAAAAACATAAATTTAAAGAATTTATAATAACACATAACTGAAATATAAAATTGGAATCAATTTCCAATTTAAGTTAAAACTCGTATTTAATTATACTGAACTGTCAAATCCGGAAAACATTCCAATATCGATATGCCTTTGACAGAATATTTATAAATTATTTGCATTTTTTCCATTTAGAAAAATAAGAAGCAAAAATAAAGCAGAGAAAGCAATGCTTTCACAAAGTGCATACTTTGGGCAGAATTTATAAAATTCTATGCATTGTGCTTGTCGGGAATATATTTTATGGTGTTTACAGTTCGAAAAAAATGCAAAAATACAAAAATACACAATACACAATACACACAAAACGTACAAACAAAATATAGGCAAGGCGGTAAAATCCTGCACAGTGGAGAGCATAAATATTATTCGTAATTTATTTTAAATAAAATTTATTGTGCAATAAAGATTTGTCTCCTAGTGCAAGTGGCGTCGTTAAAAGTGAATCAGCGAGGTACATAAATAACGCAAGCGAGTATTGTTGCAGTTCAGATTACGCTCGATCCTTTATGTTGGAGGGTTTTTTGTTTTGGGCAACAGACGATGTACAAATTTGCAATAAAATTTAGAGCATTTGGCAGAGATAGGAATTTATGATTGCTCTATTTGCAGAGGTGCAAATTTTACTGCATCACTTATAGTGCATTGTAGTAATATGAAAAATTGAATTAATTAAATACACTTTACGAAAATGGATGAGAAATTAATGTTGTTTATTGACATTTATAACAAAAGTTTTACTTCTTCTGGAATAATATTTTTATTCTAATCCAATATATAATGTCATTTATACCGTAAACGATGCTTTAGGTTAAGCATTAATTTAGTCTTTAAAACTCAATATGTTATTTGAAGCTATTTGATACTATTTTATAGTGCGAAATGTACTCTTGTCACACTTCTCACTCACATTTAAAATTTACAATAATTCTTTAAAGTTACTATTGATACTATCTTTATTAACTAAACATGAGTAACTGTATTATTAAGTACTATGGACATAATAGGTATATACTAGACTTAACAAACGTAAACAACACGAGATAAGAAGAAAGAAGTGTGGTTGGATTGGACACACACTGCGTAAGCTTTATGAAGACATCGCGGATGCTGCACTTACTTGGAACCGCCAGGGGACTATGCGCAGTGGCAGACCAGCAATAACCTGGAGAAAGAGAGTTCAGCAGAAGACGGGCAAATCGTTTAAAAAAAATAATAATATACTCCAACCCAACATAACCTAAACTAAATCACTTATAAGAAATATAATGAACCGAAAAACGCACACTAAAATAAAACTTTTAAACATTTAGTTAGATCTCAACAAAATACTAAAATCGTATCAATTGTAAAATTAAAGTTACTTATAATTCCATTTACTTGTTAATATAAACGTCTTTAATATGGATATCAATGATCTCCCTAATCTGTACACTGTTGCTCCTTCATGGCAAATATCCCTAAGATAGTTTTTGTTTTAAAAAGGTAATATACAAAAATCTATACATAATTTTTATATAATTCACGTAGACCAAATAATTTAGTTAATATTGCAAACAGTTCAAAGGAAAATAAAGGTATATATAATCTTCTCGAGCACAGTCTACAACCTTCTTGAAGTACATTCTACAACCTGACATATAGTTTATCAAATATAATTAAAGAACTTCATTCGATTTACTATAATTCAACTTTGAGCAATGTATTTATGAGTGTATTTGTATCATTAAGAAATAACATTTCAAAATCTTAGAATGATTTGAGTATAATAGTATGAGAATTTTTTTTTTTGGAAAAAGAATTATTCAAAACCATGGCTGCTATGGTGGTCGTCTGCATAGCAGATAAGAAATTGATAACGTGTAGTTAGATTCTTAAGTCTTTAAATGGTTAAGCAATACCCTTTTACAAGGGATATGATATTATCGGTATTATTCATATTTAAGTTAATTAGTTTCCTATTTCTAGATAGGTTTAGGGATGGCCAGATTTGTTTAGTTTTGGCACTACGGGTTTTATTTTCCCCATCTCTTTTGTGCTTTTTCAAGCAATGTAGAATACATCATAGATTTCTTTTTTATTTATCGGTTTAAAAGTAAGAGATAATATTTACTTCTGGATTTTAATATTATGTGTAACCAAAGTTTTAACATAGACTCAATAAAAACAACGAAACATAAATTCTTAAAACAACTGTGTTCAGTTATAAATAATCCTGAAACACATTTTCGTACATCATTATTTTTTAAATGGATATTTTGAACTTTGTGTGAGTCAGTTTAGTCGCAGAATATCTATGCAATTTAGCTAAATTGTACTGTAAAAATTTAAAAACCAAAATAATTCTTAAAATCAGATTATTTTATATATTTTATGAGAATTTTTTTTTTGTAATCATTGCAGTTTGTAGGTTAATTTATTAAGAATGCATATCTACGCTCACCCTGTCCGTTAAAAGTAGCATCAGATAAGCGACACAAGAATGGGGAGTAGGACTGAGTATTTACATGCCTAAGTTAGCAATTAAAATTACAGAAGCCTTTCCGCTTAGATACCTAATGCATTAGTTCTATATGTTCTCATATTTGTGTATGACATGCTGTAAAGATTCTTTTGTAGCGTTTGTTGGATGATACTCATCGTGGAAGTGTCTGTTACTATTGTGTCTGGTTTAAGAATAACCCCATCAGACGTTCATCATAGACCATATTTAAATATATTTTCTTTTTCGTTGGGTGTATTGCCAAAATTTTATTAAACTTATATACTACATAAATTTTTTGGCAAGTTCTACACAATTGTCATTTTAGTTTTATTTATTTTTAATCTAATGGCATTATTCGTATTAAGTATTTTAATGCAGCGACGAGTTTTAAAGTATTTAATACATTGCAGATCATTCACAAAGTAAAATTCTTCCTAATTTTATCAATTATTTAAACGTATGAACAAGTATTTTTATTTCCGTCATAATACTTGGAAACATATTTTAATTATAAAAAATTTTATTGCAAAACTTTTTATAATCAAAATGTTTTTTTTTTAACATTTCTGTTAAATTATTAATGATATACGTTGTTAAATTTATTGAAATTTCCAATAGAAATAATAAATAAAAGTATCAAAATATTACATATCTCAATGTGCAAATATTATTTAAATAAAATTTGAATAAATTTTGTCGAAAATAAAAATAAATTGTGTATTTTGTTTTTGTATTATATGATTGTAAAAATAAATTATTTTCTAATATTTAAAAAATAATTGATTCATTCATTTATTTTCATATATTTGAATTTTATTCTTTTATCACTTTAGGTACAGAAGAGCATACATCTGCCTTTATCGAGTTTAACTTCGCCTCGGGTGCTTATGTGTGCCTCTGTTGGTACAGAAGGTTCCGTAACATTACAGTTGAGAGACACAAACTCTTCTATCGATTCTAATCACTCCCCAGCATCAACATCCCTAGAAAATGCGTTGACCATCGGTTATCCGGATCCGGAAATGTTGGCCGACGTTTTAGGCACGTTACAGACAGCCTGTAAGTATGCAACAACATACTATATTTTCAACAAAATATTATTTAAACTTTATATACTGATTTTAATAGCGCTAAAAAACAACAGTACAACAATAACAACTAAAAGCATAAATAATAACAATAATATTACTCATAGTAATAATATTAATAACAGTAGTGTTAACAACAACCACAACAACAATATCAGCATAAACAATATAACAAATAATAATAAAATCACTATAAGTCGTCGCAATTCGACTATACCTATCAAGGAATCGAATAAAATTACTGTACAAACCGTATCAACATCAACCAATACCACCAATAAAACGAATAGCTACATTAAAAATTGCCTCATACGCAGCAGTAGTTGCAGCAACACAAATAACGTTACCTCGTTAGCTCAAATTATGAGCAATAGTAATAGTAGCAATAGCTCTAATTCCATATTGAATAATACTACGAATAGTAACAGCAACTGTAGCAGCAACAGCAATTTCAGCTCAAGCAGCAACGACAGCACCATTAGTATTACCAGCAACACCAGTGGCGGTAATCTGAAGAACGGCAATAATTTAATAGCACACGGTATTAAAAATGTTCCTGGCAGTGCTACTGCCACAGCAATTGTAAAGAAGAGTCGACCTAAATTATCATCACCCACCAGACACGGTCCACAACAGTGCCTGGTAAGTGCATATTTTGCATATTTTTAAGTGTAATTTTAGAGTCACCTTAGTTAATCTTAAAATTTTATATTCAATATATAAAAGAATTCTCTTTAGATTAAATGGAAATTTGATATCATTTTTATATTTAATTATCTACTAAGGACGTGTGCGAGTTAGTCTAAGTTGATGCTAAACCAAATGGGAGATTTTTTGCACTGCACACATTTAACCATTTATCAACACGCATCGACACATCATTACATTATCGACACAACGTAGAATTTCCCTCATTTAGAACGCAACTTAGCCTAACTCGCACATGTCGTAAATGACCAAAAAAAAAGAAATATTGATGTCTCAGCTTCTCCAAAGGAATAAATTTGAAGACATATGTATAAAACTATTTGTTAGTTCTATTACCCAGTTAGATAAGGTACCAATTATACTAAATTGGATGTTTTAAGTTTTTTCAAATAAAAAAATTTTTCACACTGGTAAAAATTTTCATACTAGCTGAGTTGGCGATAACAAGCTCTTAAATATTTATTTACTGTGTTCAGCTGTATCCACTTACTTATTCAGTTCGTTTGCTAACAGAGTTCAATAAAGTCATCTATTCCTTTTTGACTGTAATCGGTTCATATATTTGGATGTAGTTGACTATGTGCAATAATATCGACAGCACTGATCACATGTTAGTAATTAGTCATTTAATTTATTTTTGATTTATATATACCGAATAAAGCATCTCTCAAGCTTAAGTTTTTGTGCAAGGAATTCAACTTCCCCTTTCAATTAATTCAATATTCATATAAACATATTAAGAATCTATAGATTTATTGAAACATTTTTAACATTAAAAATACTTATACCGATGTGTCCCACAGAAATTTTTATAAAGTTATTCTCACACTTTCAATATTATTAGCTGGCGTTTTGATTGTTTTTTTTTTCTTATTTCGTTACTGCAGTTAGCTGGCACATTGCATGTTGTGTTTTTTAACATATATATAAGTGTAGTGATGGAGCATACTTTGTAATTGATATTAAATTTAATATTGACAATAGCTTTGTTTTAATTCTGTTTCATTGACATATAAAAATATTTATATTTATAAAAATATTTTAGTTTTGACGTGAAATCGCCCAACATCCAATACTGCGGCCTGAAGAAGCCTATTGTACCAATTTCATTGTATAATATTAACTATTGTTTACACAAAGCTCTTTAAAGCTTTATGAACAAAGTCCAGAACTAAATCTAGAGAAGAGCTCTTAATCTGTTCCAAATGAAACAAGTTTCTTTTGTGCGTTATTAAAGCTGGACAGTCACTAAGAATATGCACAGTAGTTTCCTTCCGAATTATTATGTTGAGATTAGTTGAATCAGTGCACTTGAGCAATTTTATCCTCTATTAACTGGGAGGTTTCTTCGTAACCTCTCTCTACGTCTTAAAGATCATATATTTTGATATTCGAACTTCGCGGTAGATTAAGTTCTTTAATAAATAGAGTATAGTGTGGCCAATCAATGGAAAAAGTGTTAATTTTATTTCTACATAGATTTCCTATACATATCCTTTTATTGAAATTTAAAATAAATGCACTTTACATGTCGATTCAATGTGAATCGATAGTTTTAATTATCAGTGCACATTGTAATGGCATACAAAGTGTATATTTTCAAAAATATTTTTAGGAAAGGATATAAAATATTTAATAGATCATTTTAGTTTTTATTAATCTCATTTACAATATTTATTGTACCATAAAAATTTCTATTAAGCAGCCTACAAACAGACGAGCACCTACTTAAAAATTTTTATATATAATCATAAGAGTATACTATCGGTTGTATGTATATATATAATTATACAATATTTGCAACATGAAACATTTTGAAATTTTTTGGCATGGCAAATCAAATTCACGAATCGTTTAGTAAATTTACTATAATTTATTTAATTTTTTCTTTATTTAATGTGTACTATAACATATATGAGTACATGAGCAAATTGGCAGTTTGTATAGTGCGAAGGTAATAGATGTATTAGAGCTAGCATATGTCGGGATAAGCGGAAGAGCAAGTGGAGATTTAGTGGTATGACATCGCTTTCATATTTGCTTGCTAATGATAGATTTCCATTTAACTAGCAATTTACTTGTCAATATAAAATGTACATTTAATGTGCTGACAGAAATTACTTGGAAAAAATAAAAACATTTTCGAAAAATCACAGGTACAATAAGTTAGCAACACATATGTTTACACTGATGTGAATAATAAGGGCCAAGAGGTGGATAGAATTTTTCAAAACACTTTCTTAACGTATGTAAAACTCAATTATGACATCATCGGCCTTAATTATCTTTAATATTTAAATTTTTCAACCCATTTACTGATAAATTCATATTCTGAAATAGCAATGTGATAGCGCCTTCGCTTAAATTTTTTAACATACTCAAAAATAAACTTTATTTTTATTTTAGAAAATTAATATGTATAAAAAATCTTCAAGATGAAATTTACAGTACATCCATTTAATACTAACTCCACTTTGCTCGTTATAATTAGGTTTTGAAACTTCATTTATAATATCACAAATATCCTTCAGTTGTTTCATGTTTGCGACACAATCATGGTACATAATGTACAAGAAATAAAAGTCTGAGTACTCCAAATGACTTAGGAACCATGTTCCAGATGTTTCAAAAGACTACACATGACTGTATCTTCAAATTTAAATGTTCTTCAATCGTTAATGTATGGTCTACTTTATCTTAATTTGTATTAAAACTTCTATTAACCATTTGTGAGCACTCTAAAGATTTAATAGCTATTGATATCGTTATTTGGATTAGGTAGGAAATTAACATCGTAATAGTTATAGCAATCGATGGCATAGCAAGGAGATTAATTACGCTTTTTAGCTGTGAATTAAGTTCCATGAAATTAACTAATTATAGACCCATTTGTTTGGTTAGAGCCCTTGTATGTTAAGCAAGGATCAATGTGAATCAATTGATGTACTCTGGTTAATTATATGACCTGTGAAGATATTTTGACAAGTAATGTAACATAGTTTGAGCAGTAACTTTTAAAACTGAAAGCAATTTTTATTATTATTCTTATTTCATTACATTCAAATAAATATTTCTAAATCCTCCCAGGTAGTTCACTTCTAGAGATTAGAGCCGTATATTAAAGAAGCATGTGTAGAATTAGACCAATGTTTAACTAACACGACTAAAAAAATGTCTGTCTAACACGACACAACAACAAAATTTGACAGATCGAAAATAAATCTAAATTGAATCCAGATTCACCAATCGAAAGCGAAACGCCATTAGTTAACTTCACTATCAACAACTTTCAATATAAATTTGAATATTCAAATATTTTCTTTGTGATAATCATTCGATTGATGTTTACAGTAAAATATCAGCCCATTTTCATATTTTTGTGTTGGTCTTGTAAATAATTTTTTTAAGTAAACAAATCAATTTCAAAATATGAGATAAATTTATATATCTTCCTGTTTGTGTTTTTTTGTAGATTTGTAGTAAAATTTTTGGAAATGCATCTGCTTTAGCCAAACACAAATTGACTCATAGTGATGAAAGAAAATATGTATGTGTAATGTGCTCAAAAGCGTTTAAAAGACAAGATCATTTGTAAGTAAATGAAGTTTAGTAACAAAAATATATAACAAATATATATCTTTCAGAAATGGACATATGATGACACATAGAAATAAGAAACCCTATGAATGTAAAGCTGAAGGTTGTGGAAAATCATATTGTGACGCACGTTCATTACGCCGTCATACCGAAAATCATCACGCAGGTGTAATAACTCCACAAAATCAAACACTTTCTCCAACTGCTGGTACCCCCTCTGGTCTAAGTTTATCTCCAGCTACAGCAAGTGGTACTACCATTTATATAATTCATGTTAAAACTATTTTATATTACTCATAAATCCTACGTTTCATCTATTAGGTGACGCCAGTTCACCAGACGGTGCAACTTGCATACGAACTTACATCTCAAATGGTGGCACAGTTGTAGATGCAGCAACTGGTTTGCCATTAACTGAAGAACAAATTAAGGCCATCAATTTGCCAATTAAGACAAGTGTCACTCTCTTGTCACCCACGTCATCGACATCTTCAGGTGGCGCTTCAATGTCAGCCGCCTCACCTACCATTTCGTTAACTGACAACAGCAATATGGAGGCCGACGGTTTAACTCGTGAACAATTAGATTTGATTAGCAAAATAATGCAGCAAACTAAACAAACTAGTGCTCAAGTTACAGTGTCATCGTCAACAAGTGTGAATTCGTATAAGGTAGATACCGCAATCGCACCACCGCAAACCACAAGCCCACAAAGTATTGTGCAAAATAGGCCACGCACCTGGAATATGCAATTGGTAAATCAAACTACTTTATATCGTTTATATTTTATAAAACCAAACACATAAAGCTTTGGATACTTAAAACTTTCAGTCATTTATTTTAACCGACATATTATATATGCATAACTATTTACATTTTTAGTTGAATACCACGCAAAATGTATCAATCACTGTGGATGAGGTTAC